TAGCTAAGAATTTGTTAATATATGATCTAAAGATTTTATTCATTAATCGCTGAAATGTTGCTGGTGCATTTGTAAGTCCAAAAGACATTACATTGAATTCATATAATCCTTCACTAGTGATAAAAGCAGTTTTTTTTGATCTTCTGATTTTACTTCTATATGCCAATATCTACAAGTAAGATCAAGAGTTGAAAAGTATTTGACTTTTTCAAATATATCTAATAAGTCATCAATTCTAGGTAAGGGAAATTGATTTTTTATAGTTATTTTATTGAGTTATCGATATTCTACACAAAATCAAAATTTTTTTCACAATAAATGGATTATTGAAAATTTTTTCTGAATAATTTCTATTTTGTTGGAAATATTTTATAATAAATGAGTCATTATTATATGCACAATTATACTATTACTGGTTCTTCTCATGTGTATGTTCACAGAGTGAATATTCTTAATATGCTTTTCAATTAAAATATATATACTATTAAGAATTTTTTTTTGATATTTCAACTTTCAAAATAGACAAAATACTTTTGCAAAACTATCTTGATTCATAATTATTTTTTTTTGATTATTTATATTTTTACTAAATATATCATATCCTATTTTGAATTCTTTATTAGACAGTAATTGTATTCTTGTGTGATCAAGTTTATTATCTAGTAAGAATTTGAGTATATATTTTATATAATCTTTTTTATAGAACCAATAAGATGAAGATTAAAATTCTAACCAGATAATTCTCTATTAATAAACTTATTATATTTTTTTCCTGTTAATTTATAAATTAATTTCATAAAAGTCTTAAGCTCCTAATAATTAATTAAAAGAGCTAATATATATAAAAAATAATAATTATATTTACTAAAATTAAAAAAAGTTATAATTATCAATTTTTTAAAAATTTCTTTTACAAATGAACAACAAATTTTAATAAATATATCTTTTACTTATATATCTTTGACTTTCATTTTCTTAAATGTATTAATATTAATAACTAGTCTTAAGAGTTTTTAATCATCAATATATTCATGAATTCCAGATAAACTATATTAGATAATATTAAAGAGTGCAGTTCTATACAGATCTTTGAATTTGAAGCTTTTTGAAGATTTTTGAATCTGATAGTGATCTGTGAAGAAAAAAATAAAAATTTTTTACAGATTTGCAATAATACATAGGTTTACACAGAATTTTTATTTTTTAAAAATATTTTGTGCAGAACTTTGTAATAGTATTTATAATAGTATTTCATAATAGCATATATAACAATACTTTGTAATAGTATTATTCAATTTTACAAAATAATAAAATTTGATATTTAAAAAGTAGTAAATATAATTTATTATAAATATTAATAATAAAAATGATAAAAAACTATATAAATATTTATATATATGTACAATCTAAATTAGTGATCTTTTTTTAAAAAAATAATTCATTATCAGATTTAAAGAAAAAAATTGCAAAAAATATTATATTAAAGAAACTTATAAAATTATTATAATCATTATTTTCATTATTATTATTGTTTTTGATCATAATTACCTCATCATCTTTATCTCTAATAACTTTCTTGTATAACTTTTAGTGCTTTCTTTAGATCACTTTCTCCTTTTCTTTAATTTTTTTTCACTATGTTCTTCATCATTGTCTAAGTCACTGGCTTATTGCTTTTAATTGATCTCTAAATAACAAATATTTGTGAAGAATTTTCAATCAAATTTCAAATCAAGTTATAAAAATTATTTATTATAAATATATGTATGCATTTAGCTACTGATTTGTCTTTGCACTTTATGTCAGAGCTGGCTGAATTCAGAAGAATATCACTAATTGCTAATATGAACATATTATTTAAAGATCATGTAATTAATTTTTGATAGTATTTAATTATTTTCAAAGAAATTATTATATATATCTCATATCTTATCATTTTGTTTTCATTCTGCTAAATAAATAGAGATAGTGTTGTTATTGATTCTTGTTAATTTTTTTTGCCAAAAATTAAAAATATTGCATTTTGAATAATAATAGCATAATTATTATATTTACTATGATATTTTGTCTTTATTTAAACAAGAAAAAAGTTAAAAGTTACAAAAATAAAATTTATAATTACAATAAACTTAATAAAGAATTTTTTTGTGAACAATAACATTCATGTATTTTGATTAATGATATTAATAAAATTTTTGGCATAGTCAACTAAGTATTTTTTAATTAACTGATAATATTCTTTGAGTATCAGATACAAAATGATGGAAATTAATTCTTTGATTACTTTCTTGTATACTTGCTGTATAAAATAGTAAAAATTAGAATTTTGCAAATTGATTTTTAGCTTTAAATATAATTAAAAATAAGTATCTTTTAAAAATTGTCAAACAATTTATTAGTTACAATTAGCTTTTTAATATTCTTTATCTGTTTCTGATGCTAATCACTAATATAGTGACAAAGATGATATATAAAGTTAAGTTTTCTGTTGAGAATATTTATTATAAAAATGAATTCAGCGTAGGTTAAAGTTCTTTTATTGTCTGACATAGAGATGGCGCAGCAAGTATGTGATGCTTATTTGTCACCTGTTGCAACACGTTGCAACTCCAAAATTTTATAAGCCACAACTAGCTGCAACTAGGTGATGCTTTATTTGTCACCACGTTGTAACAGTTGCTGCGTCATCTTTAGTCTGACACTAAATCTTGTAATGCTAAAAGTTAAGCATCTTCTAATACTTGATCTTGTGAAACTGAAGTTAGAGAAGATGTAATATATTCAGAAAAAAATGAATTATATTTAGAAGAAGATGAAATATATTTAAAAATATTAATTTTTAATATTTCTTTATTTAATAAAGAATAGTTGAATGGTTAGATGCAGATTTTTGAAATGATTCAGAAGTTATGGTAAGATTTATCAACTTCTTATGTTTTCTTTGTTATTTTTTATGCTGATTAATATAATAGAAGAAAATCAATAAAGAGAATATTTTTGTATAACTCTTTGTGAATATTAGTTTGCTAATCTGATGAAGATAATATCAATTATCTGAGATGGTAATAATTGAGTCACTGTAGATAAAATTGATTTTTTTGATTCTATGGAAGAAATTCTTCTGATTTCTGCAATTTCAAAAAATAATCTTTAAAAGATTTTACTTACTTTTCATTATCATATATTCAAACAAACTTTTTGTTTGTATGGAAGCTTTTGTTTCTAGAATTTCTGTACTAACTGATTTTGAAGGTTTAGCTTTAGTTATAGATCCTGAACTTAATTCTCTTGTTTTTTTACTAAAAATACTCAATATATTTAACAAATAATAAAGAAAGAGATCATAAAACTAATAAAAATTTGAAGAGAAACATGCTATTTAAATAGCAAGTCTTTGCATTTTTTCAAACTGTAAAAATCTACACTATATTTTATTTAATAATATATTTATAATCAATTAAAATATATCTATTCATTACTCGAGTAACTTGAATTTTGTGATTCATTTATCAAACTAAGATATTACAACCTAAATTAAAGATATTATAATCTAAACTAAGACACTATAACATAATTATGTTATGATATCTGCAATTATTTTCTTAGATATTATTATAAAAAAATAATTAACTTTATATGCAATTAAAATAACTTTGTCAGATCAAATTTAAAAAATCTAAAAAAAATATATAATATTAGCTTTATTTTGATATAAAAATAAAAAATATTTATTAGTAAAATTAAAAACTTTTATATAGAGAAAACCTGTATTTTTTATATTTTATTAATAAATTAGTTTTAATATTTTATTCTTTTTCAAACTTTTATTTTGTTTAAAGTTTTTTTAATGAAACAATTATAATTAAAATTTTTATAAATAAATTTAATTGGTTTGAGCAATTAATTGATTTAATTAATATAACAGAAATAATACTATCATGAGCAAAATTAATTTTCTTATACATATTATCAAAATCATTGAATCAATTAACACAATTAATAACCACATATATAATTTGAACTATTATTGTTATAAAGCAAAAATAGCAATAGACTTGTGATTCATCTGTACTGATAGTATCCTTGCTATGGTGCATACCATCTAAAGTCATAAAACGTTTGTATTTTATAAAATGGATAAACCCTTTACTAAGAAATAAATAAAAATTTAATCCGTAAATATAATAGAATATACCGTTTCTGAGCATATTTACGGATTAAATTTTGTATTTACTTTTGAGTAAAGAAGTTTATACATTTTGTAAAATACAAACGTTTGATGACTTTAGTTGGATGGTATGCACCATACTTAATTGATATGTTGTTCATTCAAAGATAGCTTTTCTGACGTGATGAATCTTTACATTATTATGTGTCACAGATTTTAAAATGCCAGGCTACATTGTTTGATGTATACAATCGAAGCTGAGGTTCAAATTTTTTGATCAGACCGGCAAAACAAGAAATACATGAAAAATGTTATACATGTATTTACGTTTACCTGGCACACATTTGCTTTACAATTACATCATATTGCATTGCAGATCACTACATTTCCTGTGACCGATAAAAATACCGAAAAGTATCGGTAAGTTGCGCCATATACTGCCGCGAAACTATCGTAGTTTTACGAAATACATTAATGTCAGGTCGCGGAAAGTACCATAGTAAGAGGAAACCCACGCGTGGCGGTGGGCACAAGTTTACATCGGCGCGTCAGTTGGCAGCCGCAAAGAAAGAAGAAGAGAGTGACATGTGGCTTGAGGCAAGTAGTATATATAAACATATATATCAGCGTGGTGAATCATCAATATCAAGCTTTTCTTTAAGTCTCTTTATTTCATTATTTAGAGTTTTTTTGCTTTTATCAGTATAGGGATAACAAAGCAGATGAAGAAAGCAGTAATTCTGCAGATGATGGCAGTAGTGATAGCGATAATGAGGAAGAACAAAAACAAGGGAGCAGCAGTAGTAAAAAAAAAGTTTCTTTCAAGAAAAAAGCTTCTAAATCGGAATCAGGGTCAGGTTCCGAAGATGATGAAGATGACGATGATAACGAAGCCGAAGTATCAGTCAAATCTTTTTTGTTATATCCATGAATATGTACAAGAAAATTGTTTATTGAAAATACTGAATCCCATAATCATTTAGACAAAACAATCCGTAATTGAAATTGAAAATCCAAATAGAGTTAAGAAATCTGATAATCTAAAAGCCTCGGAAATATCTACAGCGCCACGAGAATTGACACGTCGGGAAAGGTTCGTTTATTTGAAACTGGTAATCCATCATCTCGACAAGTAACCCTCTCTCTCTCTCTGACACTTCTTTACTTGATAGAGAGGCCGCCGAGAAAGAAGCAGCGAGACAGCAGTATTGGAAACTTCATACAGAAGGTAAAACAGACCAAGCCAAATCTGATTTGGCACGTCTGGCAGTTATCCGGCAGCAACGTGAAGAAGCAGCCAAACAGCGGAAAGCTGAAGCCGAAGGTAAATTTCATGATTGTTCAATCAGGTCTCTTCCGATTTGGTTTGTGTTATACCTTATGAATTCACGAATATACCTTTTATTAATTTTTTTAGCCAAAGCTGCAGAAAAAAAAGCAAAGTTAGAAAGAGAAGGTCGAAAGAATAAAAAATAGACAACTTGATTGCTAAAAAATAAGACTTACCCGAACTTTAACTAGAGTTCATCAAATTTATTATTTATTTATTTATTGATATAATTAATTAGTTTTTGATCTTTTATTTATTTATTTATTTGAATTTGCACTCTTAATGATTCTTTCCAGATTGAGAGATTTTAATAGTTTCCTCAGTACGTAAGGATGATTCGTTGTTGCTTTTTTAGCCTAATCCAAAGAATCCTTAAATTTGCATAGGGCACAACTATTTTGTCAAAGTTCCTTTTTCATATTAATCAGCCTTCAATAATAAGGTAATGTAAAAGTTATGATCCCCTAGCCTTCATTGTAGTAATAATAATAACCCTAGTCTCGAAAAATATAATAATAAATTAAATGAATTGAGATGGTATCTCAAGCTTATGTAAAATAATAAACACTGTCCAATAAGGTAGTAATGAAAATGTCTATTTATGAGCGACAACAGTTTTGGAAAACTGATATTTTCTCTTTAGATTCTTTATATATAAATCAAGTTTTTCCCGAGTCGGAACTTTTTTGCTAAGTCGGGGTTGATCTTGGAGAATATTCCGCACTTCATTGAACATTTCGTGAGTTCCGTGAATTTTAAAAGTTAACAATATTTTATAGACAATATGCCGATCAAATCGAACCTCCTTTTCCCTCGCTAATAGCAAAATTGTCAAAGCCTCTATGATTTGTTTATTCTCAGCGAGCAATTGTATATATCTCATGATTGCATAATCATAAAGTTTAGTAGTAATTTTTTCCATGTCACGGAAAAAGTCTCGCGCCTCATCGAGTCTTTTATGAAAATAACACGTGTCCCAAAGAATACGCCATGATACTTGATCTGGCCTAATGCTTTTTATCATCATATTGTAGAAAGCAAAGACTGATTCCGGCATTCCATTACGATTGAACGCATGCATTAGACAATTATAACATGATTGATCTGGTTTGATTCCTTGCTCGAGCATATCTTGGAACAAGAACACTGCTTGATCTATTTTTTTCTCTTGACAAAAGGCATTTAACAAGGTGCAATATACGTGTAAGTCTGGTTGAAGACCTGTTGATTTCATCACATCATATATTCTATGGCAAGTTTCGAATTCACCCGCTTGGATACAAACATCAAGAAGTACTGTGAAAGTTTGTTGATTGGGTTTTACATTGTCTCGTAACATATCTTGATAGACCATTAACGCTTCAGAAAAACGCATAGCTTCGGCTTTTGCCTGTATCAATGCAGTATAGGCAACGACATCCGGTTGTCTCCCACTTTTTTTAATCGCTTCAAAAAATCCTGAGCTCACATCCTCACTCTGTGCATTTTCCGTGCAAATTTTCACTAACTCCGTATAGGTTATACGATTAGGTTCTATCTTTTTCTTCTCAGTCATTTCATGAAAATAGTTAGCAGCTTCCTGGACGAAGCCAGCTCTCCCTAAACTTCCGATTAATATCGTGTAAGTATGAACATTCGGTTTTACTTTCAATTGTTCCATAAGCTCATGATAGTTTACCAAAGTATTAACGCTCTTCGCAAACAGATGCATAATATTTGAAAATGCGTGGATAGAGGGCGTAATATTCATCTTTAGCATATCGTCAAACAAAGTTCTTGCTGGAAATCTCAATTCGTATGTTGCAAACAGATTGAGTAAATAGTCGTAAGTTAATGACTCAAGCTTTATTTCATGCTCGTGTATTATGTGAAATAAAGACATTATTAAAGATCTCGCTTCTAGAAGACCATCCATACTTTTACAACACAATACCACGGAATGAATAGTTTCTTTTTTGGGCAGTATTCCAAAATCTCTCGTCATCCTCACCAATAATTTATCTATCATTACAACATTGTTTCGTTCTAGATAATTCCTTATCAACTCGTTGAATATCGATTCCAAAGAAAATGGTAACGGATCATCATATGTTCTCTCCTCGAGGCATGCTTTCGCCAATAGAAACTCACCAGCAACCATATGTTGAGCAAATTTCAGATCCTGTTTAAGCTTCTCAGAATTTTCTGAGCTCGATAAAAAAAGGTCAAAAACTTGCCTGGCCATGGATATCTCAAAATTTTTCATGCAGCTAGCGTAAAATTCCTTGTACTTCTCGACTGGCATTAGCTTCAATTGATCGTGTGCTCGCAGGATATCAATCAAGTTCATTGCATTTCCATAATTCTGTGTTGCAAGAGCATTATCGTAGAGTGGACCAACCATTCGATATTTTTGATCATTGGGCCATGATGACGATGATGATGATATTGAATACTTATTTACCGGAATTGTATTCGTATTAGTATCCGATGGTGGAATTAATTCGTGCATGTTTAATTGTTGCTTATCGCCAATGAATGAGCATTTTAATAAACTATTAATGAGTATATCATCTTCAGTTTCCACAATATCTGTAGCCGATGTCGTGGTGGTTATTGTTCTCTGAGCCCTTGTATCAACACCACTACCAATTTGATGATTATATATTTTCCGATATTTACAATAATAATTCGTTATAACAGCAATTGTCGCCAATTCCGTTGAATTACGATGACAGCTCGAGGAAATATTGCGAATATTTCGATATTTGTTGATAATGCTTTTATAAATATTATTACCACTATTACTATTATTGAAAAAACACATGAAATTTCGTACACTGCTAAAAGTCCTAAAGGAACAAGTGAACAAATTATTATTATTACAAGATGCAGTTGTTGGTACAATATCCACTCGAAAAAATAACAGCAAGTTTTGCTGTGATGTCTTTGAGGAGCAAACCTCAAGTTTTAATTTCCGACGTGAAATTAAATTCATCGTTCGTGTTTTTCTTCCTTGAAAGAATTAGTCTATGTAGTTTGTTTGTTCGACTCGATCTGTGCGATCTGCATGTTTGTATATTTTTTTGGCACAAAAAATCTAGAATATTTTTACACAACGATAAATAAATAAATCCTGGTATTATTATTACAAATATGTACTATCATTAATAAAATCCACCAAATTAAAGTAATAAATCCGAATTCTACGAGTTTTTCAAGTACAGTCAAACCTGGATATAGCGATCCCCTCAAGATTGGATTATTGCGAACTTTTGTCAAATTCCCGATTATAATAAAATGCATTTTTATAACGATTTTATATAACAATCTTTTTGAGTTTGGGCCGATCCATCGTTATATCCAGCTTTGACTGTAGTAATATATAAATAATGCGCTCAAAAGCTCGAAATCATACAGCGATAAATAAATAATTCAAAAAAAAACTAATTAAAATCTGCATTATTTTCCTCATCATCATCATCATCATCATCATATTCTCCCTCTTCCAAATTAGTGGTACGCCTCGAAGAAATATTGCCACCTATACCGTTACTCCTACTACTGCCACTATTGTTATTATTACTATTATTACTATTATTACTATTATTACTATTATTTAGTGTTAATGATGATGGTGGTAATGCATCGTCTGATGTTGACCTACGAGAATTATTACTATTATTTAATGTTGATGATGGTGATAACATTAATACATCACCTGATGTTGATGATAAATTCATGAAGTATCTTTTACACACAAGATCTGCATATGACTGTATTACTATAGCGAAATAGACCTAATAATAAAACAAAATAATTTATTTATTAGATCAAAAAATTTAGATTAGAGAAATAACTTACATGAATTATCCAAATAGCCAATAAAAACATTATAGCAATAGTCGATTCAGCTTTCCAAGCGGGCAAAAGGTTCGATGAATCCTGCCATTTAGCATACTCTGAAGAAACTCTTCTTCCTTTGGAGTATGATCAATAACTAGATACCATAAAAACCCGAATATAATTGTGAATATTGTATTGAGTACTAAATCGAGACAATATAGTGGTGGATACGCTCGTAATATTTTTAGGTTCTCCTAATGTTTTGGCGAGTATAGTTAAATAAAGTACGAGCTTTCGTATGTAATTATCACATCTTCTAGCACCTACATTGTACATTCCGTATAGACTGCAAGCGAAACCGGCGGCAGCAATCATAGAATAGAAGTAAGATATTATTGATGTGATCCCGCCCCCGTCAAGTAATGACGATACTCCATAGAATCCGGATATTTTATTTAACTAGAAATCAACAAAATATGTTTTCTTTAATATTTAATATTTAAAATTTATATATGCTCCAACGCATTTGATCAGAGAATGCATACCAAAGCAAATACAGTAATCATATAAGCACCTTCATTGTACAATAAGGAATAAAAGATTTTTTAATGCAACTGTATTAGAGACAGAAAATGCGTTTAGACTTTTAACTAAGCAACAGTATACTATTATTCCTATTTTTTTTTAATACCTGCTTTCAAATCAATGAAACCACAAAAGGTTCTCACTTGCGGTAGGAACTTTTTCATTCCACAAAAGTCCATTTCAGCAACTTGAAGACATTTGCAAAAATAACCAACTAATTATCATATTTAAATTCTATTGGTTGTATTATCAGGACCAAATTAGGAATAGTAGGCAACAAAATTTCCAGATCCCGTGTGATTGGCTGATTTGCTTAAGATCTACATCGTAAGATCGATTAAGGATCGATTATACAAATTTAGTAATTCAA